TGAATACATAAACTAAAAGCTGGATTGTAGACATTTTTTATAAGCATATTTGTGAGCCTGCCTCTGTTATTAAATTCAATATAATTTCAGATTTTTCTACTTTTCTTCTGGTTAACTTAGAAAGTGAGCTATTATTGTTACAGGTTAGTTTTCTAAACTACAAAAAAGCAACTGTTAGGGATGCTCAAATATGAAAAATTGGACTGATATTGATATCTGATAGTAACACCAGTATTATGCCAGATTTACCAATATTTCATTTTATATATTTTTTTTTATCCGATTACTCGATTAATCGTAAGAATAATCGATAGATTACTCGATTACTAAAATATTCGTTTACAACAGCCCTAGTCATGACAGTCTTATTCACCCCCCTTCAAATAAAGTGTTACCGAAATCTGTTACCATCAGATTGCAAAGGTAATTGTTAGCAAAGTCACACAGCATATCAATTAGCAAATTTCTCTTTTTTCCAAACTTAGAGATGGAACATGGTTATATTAAAGTTTTGTTGGGAGGTAAAATAAAACAGCATAAATATCACATCTATGTTCCAAATATCACTAAATGCCACTTGTATCACAGTCTGAGTGCTGAATTGTGTCGTTCATGATGGCAGCATGTTGGAGTAGCTCTGCTGTGCTAGATCTGTTTTGTTTTGTGCAAACTTCTGTTGATTTATTGCTTTTTTTGGGCAATTATTCCAGGATTTTTGCTCTCACTTTTTTATATTTTTGGAAAGTTACGATGCACATCAAGTTCAATCAATCTCTTCCAACGATCAGATTGGGCGAGGATTATATTTCCGACTGCAACATCTCTCAGTTTGGGTTTCCAAAAGCAAATGAGGTTGGTTAGCTGTATCGTCAACTGATGATATCGTCCATGTGAAATATCGTCTCTGCTGCTGGGATTTTGAACCGCATTTTAGGACAGTCGGGAGACTTGTCAAACAACAATCTTTAGTCAGAGGTTGCTTCAGATTTGTTGCAATATCAACTGCTACTGGAAGTCTTTCCTTCCCACAGCATCGCCATCCACGACAACTCTTTGAAGATAGGTCACGATGACATTTTGTAAAAAGTTTCTTTCAATTGAATTGGTCTATCTGACCATCTAGATACATTTGGTTGGGGGTTTTAATGAAGTGAAAATGTTTAGGGGTTGTGAATAATTTCACAAGGCGCCGTATATCGAGTTTGAGAACATTTCTGTTACAGAGATGTAAAAAAAAAAATCCAGTTTAGTTCAAAGACACAGCCTGCAGCAAATAGTCTGACACTTGTCAAAACCAGCTAAAGAACTATAAGATACTCTATCGTACATGTACACACTTGCTACAACACGGCAGACATATGCTCAGCCTTCATAAGTCCCTGACACACAACACCAACTCGCATTTCCTATGAGCGCCGCGCTAACGTTAAATCATTTTTTTTGTATTATTTGTATGCTTGTAGCAAATGAATAAGCGACTCTTGTAGGCTTTTTAAAAGTGCTCCTGAGAGCTGCCCCCACTGGGCCCAGAGGATGAGAGCTTAAGGTTAAAAAGCCTATTTAAATTTCAGAGAGAGACACATACTCACAGCTAACAGCTAGCGGTCCCTGTAGCTTTGCTCTGTGATGTATAAGTGCTTCTAAGCTTTTACAGATGTAAAGAAAAAACAGAGCAGACAGTTGTCAGCGGGGGTGGAGGGGTCACCTGTAGTTGGTCACAAAATGCCAAATAACTGAGTGAAGCCTGAGCTTCGTAAAGAGTGTCAAACACATCATTTTGGGCTGCATCAAGATCATGGATGTCCTCTAGGGTTTGTTGTGCCAGAATGCATTGATAAAACCCATTGAACAGTTAAAATACCAGTACATAGCTGTCTCTGCATGCAATAAGTATTTCTTAAAATCAAATAATGTCGGACATCTCCAGGATTTCATGATTGTTTTTGTGATTTTTGTTTTTTTTGCAATAAAAATCACAGATTTTGTTATGCCAATTTATAAATATTTGCACTAATGTGTGACATTAAGTGCGACTTTTAGTTACTCTCCACATCGATCACGGACTATAACGTGATGTCAAGTAAGGCTGAGGCAGAAACTTAGTAGGATCAAGAAGTACTGCCACCTGCAGATGGGAGTAAGCATCACATAGACGTGATGTATTTCACCATTTTTGAAGAAAGTTTGCAGAAAAAAAAAAAGAGTTAATAATATATATCACAATAGACGAGTGTCTACGTCAATAGATGATCTGATAGAATATTCACTGAACTCTGGGAGATGTAGGAAAAGAAAAGCTTTAGCTGCTCAACCTCTCACTGTCAGTTAAGCAACTGTGGTGGAATCAACTGACTTATTCTTGGTTACCTAGCAACACTCTCACCCTTTGGTTACCTAGCAACAACCTGCTGAGTAACTTGCGAAGCAGCAGTTTAAGGTTTCGCCACTGTGCCTTATAAATGCTTAAAGATAAAAAACAATGGTCACGCCACCAGTTTGGCAATATTTCAGATGTTTAAAACAAAAACGAATTAATTATTGATAGACAATTATTGATATCGACCGATATGAAACTTTTATGTCGTCATAAGTCTTTCAGTCATATCGTCCAGCTTTATGTCACAATTATGTATTAGTAGGCCAGTCACAATAAATTTAGTTCAACAATAAATTGTCCCAGAGGTTACTGAGATAAACGATAATGTTTTGAGCTAATTTTCAAGTAATATCATTTTGATGTCATAATAATGCAAGAACACATTCCCAAAAATCAATTAACTTTAAATTCTAGTGAACATTTAACAATGGAATTCAAAGACATTTTAAATATCAAAAATAAACACAAGCACACAATTAAATAAAATGAATTATGAAATTCTTCAAAATAGCGCTAGTTGAAAGACTTATCCAGTTTTTGGTGGAAAGAAAGAAAAGAGAAAATGATAAATCATGCAAATGGAAATGATTTAGTTTGTTTCCATTTATCACACGATTAACTGTTTTATTGCTTAATGCAACAACCCTATATAAAGTGTGGGGATGTGTTGATTTTATGTGAATTTCCACAATCAAGGAACCTCAAAAGACTGAAGAGACTAACTGATGTAATTTGGTAGTAAATGGATAAAAACTGCTTTGATTTGACCGACAACGTCATAAGAACAGAACTCTTATCCTGAAGCTTCTTGTCACGTGTCCCTCTATTTAGAGGGCCACACAAAAAACTATAGCGGGCCGGATTTGGCCCCCGAGCCTCGAGTTTCACACATGACACAGAGTGTGAGAAGCACTCAGTTTCAAGTGTATGAGAACATATAATGTCTCAGTATCAGTGTGAGCGTTGGATTTCTATGAAGAACATTACAGGAGTCTGGTTGTTGTGCAGGAAAGAAGTAGAACAGGGGCAGCTCGTTGTGTATTTTGGTGTGGGCTGCAGAGGAGAGAAGCTTTAGGCACATGAGCAGATGCTTGTGAGTGCCAGCATCTCCCCTCCACGAGAGTGTGCCTCTCTCTGTGGGGAATAGTGCTGTAGGTGGTTGGAGAAGTGGGCGGGGTCAGGGTGCAGCCGTGGAGCCAGGTGTGTGTTGGAGCTGGAGGCTGGATGGCTTGCTGTAGTACCTTGTTAGTCACAGTGTTGATTGCCAGCGTTGGAGAGGCACTTCCAGAGATCATACAGTCCATCCCCAAAGACTCTGAATCCAGGCTGTATGGTGTGGAAGCCTGTGGAGGTGGGGAGGAAAGAGGGGGGTGTAGAGGCAGAACAATAAAAATAAATAAAATAATAATAATCCAATTATTACAAACACAGGATCTCACCACAGAGGGCTGAATAGAGCGGCCTATATTAAAGGCATAAACACATAAACTAACACCAGATGCATCTGCAAGATACCAAATATAAAACCAGAATGGAGCAACACCTTTATTTAGGTCATCTTTGAACTGAGATTTTTTTAAAAAGCTCCCCCCGCCCCCCCTTCCTCCCTGACTCTCACTCCCAATCAGACATACAGTGTTGCACATACATGCCCTCTTCTTGCCGTATATGCAGTGTTGTCAGAGATAACTCTGCTATGCCCGTCTCCCAAAACTGCTTACTGTAAGAGGATTGGCTGCCAACAATACCACTTTTTTAAATTCACGATAAATATAAATGAGATTTCAAAAAAAGAGAAAAACTCAATTTCGATGTCTGTGACTCTTAATGGAAAGCCTTTTGGGCAGACGGTGCCTCGGTGGGGGAGGGGTTTAAACACAGAGCGTTTGTATTACAGAAAAACATTCTCTTCACTTTGTGCGCTCTTTTGTGTCGCACTCAAATGAGCAGGACTGCATCAGAAGGGCTTTGCTGTAAACTGACAGTAAAGCTGCATTTTGCATCATGTCTATCTGAACATATGAGACAAATGTGTGATTTATGCACACTAGTGTCCTTAATCAGCTTAATCAATTGCTTTAACACACCGTGTGTGTACAGCAATGCTCCAGAGTCAGGCTAATGCAAAGCGTGTATTTAATAACCTGCAGATATATGTACAAGTGTAAAAAACTCATGCATAATTACTTATGGTATGGCTGCCAATAGTTCTAGGTTTTACTGATGTATTTGAGCTGTGCTCTCTTCCAGAGCTGGATCATTATAAACTAAACTGCAGTGTTTCTGATTGATAAAATCTGATTGCACAATACACCTAAAGACTCAGATGTTTACATACAGCCTCACCAATGTTTGGATAAAATGTCCAGAAGAAAAAACAAACTTTTTGCAATCAACAAATTCCAACATATTTCTTGATAGTTATTTGACAACTGCTAAGCCTAATTAAAGCTGAGCTGAAGTCAGTTTTTTAAAAAAGGTGAAAAGATTGTTTTGAGCGACACACTAAAGTTGAATTGTTAATTATGGTATATTTTATGTATTTATCAGCTTTCTGTATAATCCATAATTCATTTTTTAACACTAAATATGTTAAATCTGTCATCTGTCATATATTTCAATCAGTTTTTCTTGCATGTGGATTTTAAAGATAAACCACAGAGAGAGCAGCTGTATGTAAAGTTCTAGAAAAGTGAAATTAGGTTCCTCCTGTAACATTAATATACTGTTTTTTCTTTTTTAAACCATATTTATCATATCTTTGGGGTTTGTTGTCCTGTTAGAAGTAAGGATGGGCAAAAAGGCATAGAAATAAAATATCAGATTTTTTTCCATACCAGATTTTGATTTCAAATTTTCATTGATTTCTCTCATTTTGTGCCAAAAAAAGAAATTGCAAATGACAAAAAATATTTTCAAAAATTTTTTTTTTCAATTATCCCTGTGAATTGTAATTTTTGTATAATCCTAAAAATATAGTCATAATATTAGCAGAATAAAGACACTATTTTACCAGAAGAACATCTTAAAATTTGGAGGAAAAAAGTCATTTTAATTGAAAAAAATCTTGGATAAATAATTTATTTTTCATGTTGAAGTTCTCATAAAATTACTTCTTCATTTTCCTAATATTTCAACTTTATTCTGGTAATATTAATACTTTGTTCTAGTATTATTGTGTCATATGACCTTATTCTAATAAAAAAAAAAAGGAAAAATAGCCGGCCATTTTAAATTGTTGCAGAGTTGACCTGAGTTCAAAGTTCACATAAAAAGAAGCTGTGGAACAGCTTGTCAAACCAGATGGTGGGTCTTGGATATGCTGACATTATTCTGAACTATAGAAACACAAGGAATGTATTGGTGAAAAAACCCCAGATTTTCAAAAAAAAATTCCCAAACTGAAACTTATATGAAAATAAATTGGGAAACCACTGGTCTAGACTAAAAATAAGTCTAGACTTGTTTTTATTTTCAGGATCCCAGAGTCCCTGGTGCCCATCTCCAGCAGTTGTTGGAGATGGACAGGTTGGGTTCAACCTATCCAGGTACATCCTGGACAGGTTGAACCCAGCCAACCTACCAGTCATGTTTTTGGACCGAGCACCTGGAGAAAACCCGTCCATGGACAATCCATAAACCAAGTGGATTTCCAGATACCAAGTCTTTCATACGCTGCAACTTTTTGGAAAACCAGTACAAATGTCCCCAGTCAAGTGAGTTTAATGTCATCATTGAATGGACACAGAAATAAGGCATTGATCGAAACCTAATCAATCAACCTGGTTTGGATTCTGATGAAGAATGTTTATGAACTTTTGACCGAAATTGTCAAATGTGGTGAGATGTACACACCAATAAAAGCTGAACCAAGCTGATCTCAACACTTGAATTAAGGATGGATGCAGAAGGAGTTTTCTTTTGGATTTGAAGCGACTCACCCGCTCTCCTGACCGTGGCCTCTTCTTTGGCCGAGTTGGCAAAGCGTCCTCCTTCGGGTTGGTGTCAATGGCCCAGTAGGAGCCCTGCAGACAAAACAGCAGATCTGTGAGACGATACCAAGGATTGTTTTCATAACTTTATTACAGTGGTCTACAAACAATTTGTGTACAGCCAGGCAGGAAACCAAGAAAAGGAAAAAGGAAGTCAGGAAGTTTCCCCTCTGCCTTCACCATCTACCCTATCAGCCAAAATCTTTATTGGAGCTGATAGTCGAGTGGTTAAAGGTTGTGCCAAGTGTAGGAGGTCTTTGTTAGGAAGAAAGGCTGGGCTTTCTCTCCTCGCTGAGCGGCAGCGGAGGGCGGCTGCTGGTGGTAAAATGTTAAGCCTTTCCTGCAGCTGTGCTTCCTCAGCCTCAGGTACTGAACCCAGAGCGAGCGCTGCTGCCAAGGATGAAGAAAATAGGCTCAGCAATCAAGGTAGCGCTCGCCTCGCCATGCTGCTCCCTTCAAAGTCTGAGAAAGGCTAATGAAGAGGGAACTCTACCACCAACCTGCATTATTTACCTTTCCATTTGGCCTCAATTAATTTATTTTTCAATAGCGTTCCACCTGGAAGGCAACAGGAATAACGCTCAGCTTTATAAAGATTCCTACCCTAAGGCTGTATGGGTTGTGAATTTGTTTTCAATATTTTTCACAATTCCTGATACGATCTCAACTGCCGAGAGGAAATAAGATCAGCGCCTTGGAAATCACTTCCTTAACAGAGAGAATAATTGATATTTCCATAGGAGATTCTCAGAACAACAGAACCCAGAACCGCAGCAAACACATCGCTTTGCTCTGGTTACACCAGCCAGTGTGTTATTTTCACAGCTCTCACACACCAAGGCTGGATCTGGTGGGTTTAAATTCTAACTTTGAGAATGTGTGCAGCTTTGGGGTCAATTAACATTGTCCTCAGAGGATAAATAATTCACACTACAAATAAGCAAACACATGGATACTCCTATATAGATATGGGCCATGGCTGAATAAACCACACGCTCTGATGAGAGGTTCAACTAGACACGAAAAAAAGTTTTGACAAAATCTCTACATTTGATCTTCTCTCAAACTGCAGTGGTTAAAAATCGGCAAAACGGACAGAACGCTTCCTAGTTTTTTGTCGCAGACAAAGCTGGGCTTGGTTGCTGTTTCTTTTAATTGAGAGAGCAAGAGGAATAAGTTAACCCTCATGGGATGGGAGTTTCTGCATTTCCCTCCACTCAACCCAAGAGAGTTTGCAGGAAAAAAAAGAATAATATATAAAGACTCATTAAATTATTCACAAATACAGCGGTATACTGTAGCAATGCCAAGTCAAGTGTGTCGAAGTCTGGGGCAAAAACAGAGCAAAGCCGCAGCGTTCTCTGTGGTCAGAAGACGAAGGAGGTAAAGTTTGTTTTGTTTGTTTAATGAAAACAGATCCCAACAGCAGATCTGCTCTTCCTCCAAATGACACAGCTCATTTTCATGCGTTAGCATAAATTACGTCACCTGCTTCCTCTTTTTAATGTAAATTTCAGAGCGACAAACAAGAATGAAGCCGTAGCTCAATTAAAATGAGGATTGTTACAGGCAGACTTCACATTGCGTTTCTTACCTCTGCATGTGCACAGTACTAATCGTCATCTCTTACACCATCTCACTGACAGGGAGCGACATGACTCTCCTATCTCGTGCAACCAGCAGTTCTCATATTCCTGCCACATTACAATATTGATGCAACATATCAAGACCGGCTAGCAGCTCTTTGAAGTTGTCTTCAGGGGGGGGAAAGGCAGTGAGGAAAATTCCAAATTAAACATTAAGGATGCGAACATGTTGGCCATGCATTTGGAATGGGATCCATACTGCAATAGATTATTTTGTATTTAGTGGAGCAGCTCCCAGGAGTGTCAATATCAGAGGATTACAGCAAAACATGAAATTAGCATTCAGTCCCCATCCTCTACACAGCCTGGTGTAGCTCTTCACGCGTGTGTTGGTGTGTGCATATAATTATTTGTGTTGCTGCCTGAGCATATGTAGTGTGTGTTCTGGCAGGACATAGATGATATCTGGGTTTGGCTGCATATAACTGGACCTATGCACACCATCACCATACAGGTGAAGCTCAATAAATTAAATCATCATTTAATGGCTTATTTGAGTAATTGGGCAATTTTTTTTTTGTATATAGGTTAATTACAAACAGCAATATATTTAAAGTTAATTAAACTTGAAGATCATTATTTAAAGCTTAAAAAAAATCATGCTGAAAGACTGTTCACAGGGTGCTGTACTACAGCATATCAATGAAAAGATGAGTGGAAGGAGAAAGTGTCCAAAAGCAATTGAGATGTAATTGCAGCCTTAAGCTTGTGAATCATAACCCATTCGAGAAGTAGCCATGTCTGCAGACAAAGTAGGTGTTTCTAAAGGGAAGCGTTTTTCATGAGCCACACCTGATTAGATGAAATTAATATCTGTAATTGGACTTTATTTTGAAGAAACATTACTAGATTCCTTCTCTGGCAACAGACTTTCATTTAATTATCTAATTTCCCAAGCTGAACGTCATAACTATTAGAAGACTTATTAAGCACTTAGATATGATAACGGCAGGTCACGTCTAATCCTGCCCCTCTTAACAGAACATCCAGTCACATTTTAATATAAGAGCATCAACAAGATCACAGTGCTTTAATAACCAGTGGTCTGCAACCTACTCCAAGTAAACAACCATTCATTTGCTGTGACATGAGCTCAAAGTGTGACACTACAGCTGGCTTACTAAAGGATCGTGTTTAAAAATGATAATGGATAAGTGGCTTAAGACTGGGTCACTGAAAAGAAAACCTGAAGATACTGGTGGAAAGTTTCTCAGGGTGAGTTTCAGAGCTTTTGTTTTTGAACATTATTATGAAACACAGCACGCCACAGGCATCAAGATCTAGGTCTGCGCCCCATGCTGACTAACTGCATCTGAACACCTAAAGTAAAATTATTTACATTGAGCTTATCCTACAGGCTGAAATAAAGTGTTTATTTTTTGCCAAAGCAACTCAAGTCAATTTTTCTTTTATTATGCTTCTAATTACAAACAGCCCTAAAATGGTATTAGTGCACACAATTTTTTTTGATTTCCATGTGTTTTCCATCACTGGAAAGCTTAGAATCCACAATTTAATAATGTGTAAATAACTCAAAATGCCCCAAGTTGTTCATGGTTTTATCCAAAGCAGAGCGACCCTTCACATTAGGATGAACAAAGACAGTGAGTTAAGAGACTAATATTTTCATTTCAGGTTCTATATATTAAGATTATGTGTTATTGTGGGGGCAATTGCATATTAGGTGGTTTGTGAATGTTTGCCAAGTGGTCCTGAGCCTGAAAACGTTTGAGAAACACTGCTTCTTAGTGATCCTGATTTCATCGTCCAGCAGGATTTGGTACCTGGCCACATTGCCAGAAGCACCAAACCCAAGTTGACCTTTAGTGACCATGGTATCACTGTGCAGCATTGACCCAACGCTGGTCTGACTTAAACCCCATAGAGAAACAATGGAGTAAACATGAGATAACAGAGTCAACAATGCTAACAAGATGAAGATGAGTGTTAAAGCAACCTTGGCTTTTTTAGCACCTCAGCAGCCATGCCTCGCTGCACTGATGCAATAATTCATGCGAAAGGAGTCAAACATGCTGTATAATGCAGAGACACTGTTCAGTCAGTTCATATTTTTATATGAAAAGAATCCCTTTTTGATTAGTCTGATGTAAAATAATATCACCAAAATAAACAAAAATAAACGCTTGAAATATTCATATTCCTCTGTGTGTGTAATGAATTTATGACATATCTGAGTTTATCCTAAAGACGGTCTAGGTTACCGAGTTGCCCCTGTGAGTCGGGGTCTTTAAACCCCCTCGCAGTCCATCAGGGGATCGTTCTCATCAGGCTGATGTCGCTTGAGATTGGGAAGTAGATCGAGCTAAGATAGCAACAGTAGGTGGTCCTACTGAGATTTAAATGTCAAATTAACATGGACTATATATTCTTATACAGAGGAGGAAAACAGGAGGAGAGCTGAGCTGGAAACAAAGGAGAGCAGATTTTTTTGTTGTTGTTGTTTTTTAATACTTCAGGGACGATCGTTTCTGGAATCGTTCTGCCCTTCTACACTTTTCTGTCCAAAACTTTTACTTCATATATCTACGTCTACTGCCTGTGTCGGTTTAAAAATGATAATAAATTAAACATCCATTTCATTTCACATTTAAAATGCATGTGTGTGACGTTCATAAGAAAATGAGCATTCCTTTCGTTTTCAGTCTGTCAGAGTCCTGGCAGTCATTCAAAGGTAACATTTTTCTACCAGGGAGAGCATGACACACACACCCCAAAAATGTTTCAGCTGTGTGTTCAGCCAACAGAGTCTGCTTAGTTGAAATTTAACACATTTTCTCTTTCCCCCCCCCCCCCCCTCCTCACTTGCATGCAGTCTTTAACTGACCGTGATTAAAATAATCTGTGTCAGTCTTACCTTTCCAGGGTCATCTTTGGAGCGAGGCACTTTGAGAAAACATTTGTTTAGCGACAGATTGTGCCGTATTGAGTTCTGTGAGGGAAAACAAAGAGAGAGAAAGGTGGCGAGGTAAGTAAACATATCAGAAATGCTGATTGTACAAAGTATTTCGTAACAAAGCAAAAACAAGGGTGCCCATAGCAACGAGTTCACACACTTTTACATCTTTTTCCCCCCTATTGATTTACAGTCAAACAAGGGCTTAAAGGCTGTGAAACACAGATTTCATCTCATCCAATGAACTCCATTTGGGCTGCACATCATATCAAATTCCACGGGTGCCAGAAATAGGAGCAAGAAGGAATCCCACACTGGGATGGCTGCTGATAGCAAGGCCTGATATTAATTAATGCTCTAGCATCCTCCTGTGGGGGCTGGAAATAAATTATGTAGATCATTCTGAAAGTTAACTCATTACTGTGTTACGAGCTGGTCCACACTGGTGGATTGGGAGATGCATCCAGCTGCCTGATATGAAAGGAGGGATGGGTTTAAGAAACCATGCAGGTTAGATTGCAGACTCTTGGTCCCCCAGCAGCAGAAAGACCCCCCAGGCCGCCACCCCATGAACCAGCTGCAGCCAGACCACCGGAGGGCTCGACATCACCAGTGGATCCTCATCCACTCCACTTTATGGGCCGGCATTGACTGATGGTCACAATGAAATGCAAAGGATAAGCCGAGAGAGGAGCTCTGTGAGAGACAGACGAGAGACTCCACATTTTTCATGTTAGCGTTTCAGACCTTTACAGACTTGAATCAGTCAGGTTCTCAGTGCCAGGAAGGAATACAAATAAGAGTTTACTGCTGGTATTTAGGTCAGGCTTTAACTATAGAACCTGTAAGGATGAATGATTTATGGAAACATAGATGGAAAGATGAGCGAAAGGAACAAACAATAACGTATGGCTGGATGGACATCGAAATGAACCAGTGACCAGCAGAATGGATCAATGCATGGACTGATGGAGTCAGACATTGGGATAGGAAATGAAATGTTTACGATTTCCCATACTTAGCACTTAACCAGACATGAAAAGTAATAAAATTTAATGCTTTTCTAGACATAGAGATAAGTTCCCACTGATTCATCATAAAAGTTAACCACATCATTGGAGAGAGAAATGTTGTAAATCCCACTGACTAAACCTCTGAATGACCACAATTCAGCCAACATGGCTCTTTAATACATACTTATGGCTTGATGAAATATTCAAGGATGGGCATTATGTATTTTCCACGTAATGCCATTTTGTAGCACAACCAAGAAACTATGTTACCCTCAGCTGCTATGAAAAGGATGTACATGTCAAATTTGACTTCTCATCATAGCCATATCTGACGCCTTCAAATTGGGGCTCTGTCTCTTTAAAAACCTTCTACCTTTTCTAACACTTCAGTAAGTCAACACAAAAACCATGCCATACATAGATACAATTTACAACCGTTCTTAGGAGTGTTGTAGTTCCTATGATAAGCTCAGCAGACATATGGTTCCACCTGGTGCTGCTGCCGCTAGTCTGCGGGAGCCGAGTGCTCTGCGAGTTGGCAGCTGGGTTGGAGTCTGCAGCTGAGAGGAGGAGCTTTGTGGAAATAGGCGAAATAGACACCTCCAATTGGTTGCCAGAGGAGATTCAAGGATTTCTGAAACATTCAAGAAAGAATCAAAGCAACACTCCAGGTATGTTTTGATGAGGGATTAGCATTAAAGCATGATGAAAAGCTCCAAAGAGTTGACTTTTCATAATACCACCCCCTTAAACAATTCTGAGGATCAAAACAGATATAAATCACCTTTAGTATGAGACAGACTTTACAGCACGAAAGGGCAACCCTCATCACCTCCAAGCTACAGTCATCCTCCACTGTGTAGGATTCAGAGATTATTATTTATTTAGTAAATCAGCTCTTTCAAGGCTCTGGCTTTTGTGACTGAAATATTGAATTTCTCCCAACCAGAGAAAGGCCTTTATGCCGCCATGGGCTAAAACTGAGATTTCAGATTGCATATTGACACTTACATTTTAGTATTCACTAAAAGGTAATTTCACTTAAAGAAAAAGATAACTACTCTCTTGCACAGAAACAGAGTAAACAGTTCAAGGCGATAACTGTGCTGCTGCTTTCATTTGAGTTCATTTTGGACATCAGAGCTACTAAAGTAAAAAGTAAAAAGAAATATCTGGAGTGGATTGTCACATTGTATGTTGTAAAATTCACAACTAGTGATGTTCCAGCACTGACAATAAATTGGGTTTTCAATATTACAGGACGGGAGATTTGCATTGTGGATGTGCAACAGACAAACCTACAGCAAATGCATGACGCTACCATGTCAATATGGATCAAAATCTGAGCAATGTTTCTGACAGCTTGCTGAATTCATACAATGAAGAATCAGGGAGTTCTGAGCACAAATGAAGGACCAACCCACTTCTGGTAAGGTGTACCGGCTGTAGAGGGTAAATGTTTATAATAAAACGTTAAATCTCAGAATGCTTTTGTACTGAAGCACGACAAAATGAAGATCAGCTCAGCCCATCCAAAGAAGACCAGAAACAGACAGAACAAGGAAGTTCTAGTTATTTTGGCATATTTTTTAAAACAAAAGTTGTACAATTTTCCAGCCTCAAATTATTTTTGGACCATTTTAAATGTTCATCTGAGCGAATGGGTAGACAGGTGGACAAACATTGAGAGATGGCTGACATTATAATCTATACATTTTAAACAAGAAACAAAAAAGTGTAAAAGTCACACTAGTTACAGCTTATTTAAACCATCATGTTGACAATTGGACAGTTAAGTTTATTTTACATAATTTTTTTTAAATAAAAAATTAGCAAAAATGATGTAGTAAAATTAAAGACATGAAAAATCCTTTCCTCACACCATGATAATGTTATGGACACCTCATAGCATTATTATTTGGGCCATATGGCTCTCTGAGCTTCACATCGAGATAAGGAAGTGCTCAGGGTTGCACTGTGATCAGAACTCTGTGGTCTGAACGTAATTAAGCCACGGGCGCCTCACTTTTCCTACCAAGTGAGATTGTGTACAGTTGTGAAGCAGAAAAAAAAAAAATCCAAGCCTGCAGAATCAGATCTCAAATGTCATGCAGACTTGACAAATAGATCCACTGAGACCCCAGTAACCTGAAGACTCCAGGGCAGCCGAGGTAAACGGTTAACCTTATTGTTGTGTGTTTGCTGATGCAGGCCGCTTGAACCAACTCTGGCATCTCTGCAAAATACAGCATGAAGATAAATGTTTTGTTCTTCTGGTTGCATTTCCTCCCCTACTCCAACAATAGTAAAGCCTCAGCTTGGATGAACACAGCAAAGTGCATCATCATGCATAGTGGAGAGTGACAAACAGATAAGACGTTCTCTGCTTGGTCAGCCAGATGCTACTTGGAATCCCTGAAATGTGTGAAACCAGCGAGGATCTGATGGGACGGTTTCTAAAACAAGCTTTACAGTTCCACAGAACCACAAGTACTCCACAGACATTTTCCTCCACAGTCTGCGTCTAAAAATGGGGGCCACCTAATGCCACGCAGATGGGAGGTGAAGAGAGGTGCCTCGTTCCATTAAGGAACGTCTGTTTGTTCTAAATCATTGATACAGTCAAGCGGGAGTGGCTTGCTGCAACATCAGAAGTTTATTTTTTAATGAACCATGCTTTCCTGCTCTGCTATGCTCCTGCTGGGTCATAAGAGATGAAAAACTAAGGATATAGTAAGCAGGTCTGTGCAAAGTACAAAGTTTCTACACAACTTTCATGAAAACCCCCACTGCAAACTATTGCCCTAAAACCTCCAGAGTTCCAGGTCTTTATTTTAAAACCTGCTGAAAAAATGTCACTATGAAACTACAGCAGATCTTCCTATAGTAGGCAGGCTTTAAATATGTAGCATATTTAAATGAAACGGCGAAGATTACGATAGAGAAGAAGGCTAAAGAAAACTAAAAGTCCTGCAGAAACTACACCTGCAGAAAGAGAAAAAAACACATTGGAAGGGCGTCTAAAAATAGATATAAGGAAAGAAAGACAGAAGATTGGAGTAAGCTCCTCACAATAAGCAATTAACCAATTGGGCAAATTTGTTTACACAGACATCATAATCCATTTTATTTATCGTTTTGGTTGGGATGTTTTATTTTAGATATTTAAAATATGTTCCAGTGTGAAGTGGATTTCACAAAACTAAAGTTCATCAGTGATTGAGAGGGCAAACTTGCATTTTTATGCCATTGTTAACACATTACTTGAAAATGGTCTCAAAATAACAATGTTATCGTTTATGGCAATACATGACTGGGGTAATTTATCATTCAGTAAAATTTGTTATTGTGACAGACCTAGATAGGATACAATCAAGGGAGGAAAGCAGGACGAGCATGATGGACAAAGGGACACGAGCCAAGAAACAAAAAAAAGGAAGGAACATTGAGACAATGGGAATAAAGTCTTGAAATTCCCTTTTTTTTTTTTTAGACACTTTTCCCCCCATACATATCCAGACCTGAAAGATGCTGTAATCACATTCCAGACTTGTGTAGGGACCCCGGAGACAGCAGGTTATCAGCAGATATGAAGCAGATATGCAGATCTACGGCGGAGGGAAATTAAGTAGGAGGAAGAGGTCAGAAGGTGTTAGCAGACGTACACAGAGTGAGAGAGACAGAGCTCTCTGCAGGGGGTCTCGCCCAAGTGCAGCCTAGAATCTTACCTGCAACCCCCACAGAGTTCTCTACATTCAACCTTAGAGTGAGCCTTTGAGTGTGTGTATGTGGGATACCTCCTACACACCTTGAAAGCCACGTGCGCACACAGGAACGTGTCTCCGAACAAATGGCGGTGATTTAACTCACCAGGACAGTAGTGGAGGCGTAGGCAGCTCCGCCCTCACAGCCAGCACCCCCACCACCACCCCCCTCTTCCCGCTGAGAAGCGCCGCAGCTCGGCAGAAGGGCCGCCAGGGAAAAAGGAGGTCAGGCTGACCTCTGAGCTCGGCGTGTCAAACG